AATATATACACGTGTATCAGATGGATGCTGTTTTGTTAGGAACCTAATTCAGGTACTAAAATAGGCGTAATTGCATCCAGATCTATTAAATGCCATCTTGTGTAACCCAACGTTAATACAAGGAAACTGTAAAGACAACACAAAAACCAGAGCCAAGGCAGAGGATAAAGAATACTAAATCAAACACCTCTGGCAGAGTTTTTTTTCTCACGAAGTTCATGATTCAGCTAGGAAGAGCTGTTGGCTTAGTGCCTTTGCGCTGGCCAGAATAAAAATTATGAGCTGGATGGTTTTCAAGCCTAGAGGCCTGTGGAGGATGCCCTGATACTTGATTCGTGCCATCTAAACAGTTATTTTCCACAGATCATGAGCCAGCAACTAAAAGATTAACTTGATTTTAATTTTCCCATACTGGTGTGCTCTCTTTTCTATTGTTCTGTAAAACTTACAATTAGCCTGCACAAACTGTCAAGCTATACTACACTATGTCTCATTCTTTTACAGCTCAATAGAAGCATTTAAGTACATATTTACCATCTCTGGTCCAGGTATTTACACCAATATAGGCCAGAAAGTTATTAGTGAAGCATAGCAAAATATAGTAGTGTGCAACTCCTAATTACATCTAAGCACATGAAACTCATTTTTATTGCCCAAGCTTTTTCTCTATGGATTCTTTTGTACACGTTAAAAACCTTAGCCTTGCAATTCAGCCACAATCCTGTGTTGCATATGAATTAGAAAATCATTCTGAGGAAAAGCCACTTGGCAGTTTGGCAAGGTGAAGTTAAAACCTGCTCTTTTTCACAGCAGTGCTACAGCCTAAACATTAAAGTGAGGTGAAACTATACAAGTACATTCCCAGTTTACACTAATTTGAAGCTAACAATGTGACACAGCAGTGACTAGTCTTACAGTACTATATCACCGAAAAATCAGCAGGCCAAGCAGATGAGAGCCGGGCCACTTATTCCTAAATACTGACTTCAATCATGAATTCAGCTTGTAAATGAGCTTTGTTATCGCTTACATGATACTATGTGCAATTGCAATCAATTAACCCCTCTAAGAAATGGTCTGTACTATTAAAAAAGAAAATAATGCTTTTATATCCGATTCAATATACATGAGATCTGCCATATTCTAGCCCAATTTTTCAGTGATGGGATACTTCAATATTTTCAGCCATCAAGATTATATTTAAAATTGTTCTGGTATTAAAGCAGGCAAATGATTAAAGCGAAAGCCTGAAGTATTCATGGTGTCCTCATTACTCTAGTTCACTGCCGTAAAACCACAAATCTAGCCTCCACTGCCTACTAATAAAACTGTCTTCCTCTTTGTGTGGGGTTTCTTTTCCAAACATGTGGGGAACTGGCATTTTTTAAAGGACGCTAAATCATTATTACACCCTTCAGATGTCTTAAAAACTACTTCAGTATTTTAATTACCCAAACAAAGAGCTTCTGATATACTATATTTACTTTTTGACATCTCAATAACTATAAATTGAGCAACAAGGTAAAGCTGCTTTAATGAGTGATGAATGGCACCCAGACTTACAAATGAATAAAGAAAACCTAAGATAAGGGAAGACAAAAACTTAAGCACAACACTAAACCGACAGGCAAAGTGTACTAGCTGACACCTGCAGCTGTGCACTGGAGCGCTCATGCTTCAGGGGAATATACCTCAGAACAGTTTGCAAAATGTCAAATAAAGAGGTGACCTTTTCCATTCTAGAAGCTAAACTGAGTCCTTGATGAGATTATTCTACATATTTCTGTAGCACTAAAAAAGAATGTCAGGATCTATTTTTAGACAGAAAGCAAGCAAGAAAAAAAATCCATTTAGTATAAGAGGCTTTGTGTGTAACTTGCCAAAAGTTTGAATACTTCAAAAGGCAGCTGCCTGAAAGAATGAATGCAGGTGGACATCTAAAAAGTAGTACAAGGATTTTCTTTAAAATAGACCAAAAATCTACATCTACACAACTGAAAAAAACGAGGGATTTTGAATGCTAAAATAACCGTAGACTAACAGAAGTACAATAGGTGAAGAACCATCAAGGCATCTTGAACCGCGACTGGAACTGTATCACTGTTTTTGAAACCGTTATGTAGAGTAATAAAATTAGCATGATCTCTGTGGTACATGAACAATAAATGACATGACAATCAACCAATTTATGTTTACTAAGAAGTTTTGTTAGGTAATAAATCTTGTGCAGTCAAAGACGGAATAAAACCCATAACTGTAGAAGTAAGATGGAGCATCAAGCTGTCAGGTGACATCGATAATGTGCATTCATAGTGCACATAATAAAAATAAGAAAACTACAGCAGAAAATGTAAAAAATTGCAAAAATCAGCATTTTTACAAATTAAGCATTCAAAATTTAACATTTTCCTACTTTTATTCATTATGATATAGACCGACTATTAAAAACAATCACTAACAAGAATTAATTACCCATTCTGTAAATTGTAACAATTCACTTTTAAATCTATACCTGCAATTTTTAATTTGATCAACAGTATGACAAGACCTTCCCTGAAAAAATCTCTTATAAATTCATAAGGATGTTATTCCAATGCTTAAATATATAAAAAAACAATCTTTTGGACTCTACAGACCATTACACACCTTAAGTTATGTGAAAGCACTGTTTATAACAACTTACGGAAAAAAGTAACACCTTTGTGTGTGTCCAACTTGATGTTATGTCATAGCAGGCATACAATTTAAAAAAAAAAGATTTTAATAAAATGTTTGGGACGCACTTGGGCGTTTCAGTTTGGGCAGCGATCGCAATAATGAATAATTCAACAATAACCATAATAGGGCCTGTATGTACATGTGTTCACAGGAATGACATATGAAACTTAACCAACTGCTAGATCCAACACGCAAAGCATCTGATTACATGTCAACAGTATAATTGAATATATAAATCCATCACTAGACATCAAAATATAAAGATTTATCATATATAATTAGTGGTTAATTCCACTTTGAAATTAAAAAAAGTTCAGCTGCGGAGGCTTCAAACTTTTCAGCATAAAATTGAGCTCTATTTGCTCCTTGACAGCTTTCACAATGACACAGTTCCCTGCTCTAACACTGATCACAAACAATACATTCAACCTAAATATTAATCCTAAAACAAGGCCAACAGGCTTCCCCTAAACTCCGGAAGTGTTCATTATTTAACACATTTACTGGTCTGGAAAAATAAATCTATCCTAAGAAAATCACCTGGTTAAAACTTAAGATGATCTACTATATACACATACTGTACCATGAACGGCAGCTACTAGCAGTTTGAATTTCAGCTACTTTTAACATCTTGAGAAAGCAAACATCTTTTTTAGTTTGGGTGAAGTGTGCACATTGCAAACAGTTCCCATTTCTGTTTTGACCTACTGCAGAGACAGTAGACATCTCTAAACACCAAAATGAATACTGTGAGAGACTGTCATGAGAAAAACACTCACTTTACAGTAGAATCTGCAGGAAAAAAACATTCTACACATAGGAACAAGAAAAGGTGAAAAGAGAAGAAAGGAAACAACTTTTCGGCTGCAGAGCCTTCTTCAGGTGCGATTCTACATCATATATGTGTATATGAACATTTAAAAATAATATGTTAATTGGAAGAAGAATTCATGTTTTGTGTGCTTGAGGCTTTTTTACTTATTAAATGGCCTTTTATCATTTTTAAAATTATTCAGAGGGTTGCGCTACCCTACATGCACAGAAAATGAAACTGTATGATGGAACCAATAGTTTACATCATCTATACAGAAAAATAGAAAGATAATCCGCAGCATTTTAGCTGTGGGAAAAGTTAAACCTCAGGTGGAATGATGGGTGTCATTTTTCTCTGTGCAGCCTGCATACTGGCACAGCTCCCCATTCAAGCCTCTGCGTAATGTTACGATGACTTTCATTGTACCAGCATTGCCCTTCTTAATACCAACAAGTCTCAACCCAACCCACCATCCCCTACTTTCCAACTATGTGCAAGCAAGGAACGTCTTCAAACTGCGACTTCAGCTTGCCCCAGGGCCAAACAGTAGACTACCAGACACGAACACCATTCAGTAGAACTTACAATTTTTTTTTAAGATCTCCGCTATGGGGGAATCTTTTCAGTGCATATGTAGCGTACATTTGATACATACTGTCTTGGTGTGCACTGAACACTCCTTTCCAAAGAAACCCACAAAAACCATGCCTGTGGGTGTCCCCATCAGCCCCTTTCTCTGAAGAGCTTTACAGTCCCTTTCCCCTCAGACCATAGGGCTCACAGTTTCAGTTTATTAAACATGGTAAATGTAGAAGAGGAAACAGCCACTAGCTCTCAGCCTGCAGTAATTATGTAAACAACTGAACAGATGGTCCATTTCACGTGTTAAGAAAAATAAATACCTTACTATAAAACAGGCTAAAACAGTAATGGAAAAATGGTTCAAGGTTAGCACTGCTATTCCGAGTAGGTATTCTGCAAGCTTTCTAATAAAGTATTTATTTTTTATCAGGAAATTCGGAAGAGGTTTTGAATCAAAGTCACTTGCAACAACAACACCATATTACCACAAGGGTAATATTCCAAAGCTTACAGTTAAATCCATGAAAGGTTCTACTACTTCTGTGCTAAATAGATGCAATGGTCTTGAAAAAAATGAAATGTTCAAGTATCAAAACTGTCTTTTCTTCCATCTCTCTGTAAGAAGTAATTTTCTGTAAGACCTCTGTGGAACAGCGTCCTTGATTTTTCTTTTGCTAGTTATATCAATAATATACTGTGAGCAAATTATGATGGAACTGCATTAAACACGGCACATAAAAACTATCCTGATGCTCAAACACCACCGATGCCCACGGGGCCATTAATTCAACTATGTAAATCACCACAGATGAAATTTAGCTACTGTCCTATCCTAATACTGTTCTTTACCTCAGCTGGGGGGGAAAAAAAAAAAAAAAAAACTCACCTCTGATTTGGTAGACATATTGTCCTCCATGTCAGAGTCATTTGGATCCACGAGATCTTCAAAAGGCGGCAAAGTGGGTTTCTTTCTCTCTGGCACCTCGCTATCCATTTTGAGCTTGGTGGAGCGGATCTGGGATTTATCCTTCATCAGCTTTTTGTCAGAGTGATGATGCAGGGGAGAGGAACCAGACACGGCCTTCATGGCCATCTCCGAGGTGCTCTTCTTTCGCTTTTTGGATGCATGTTCTTCAGAATCAACTGCTGGTGGCCTTTTGCTGGGAGCTTTCGTGTTGTGTTGCACACAGGCTGTCCCACCACCATGAGAAACGCTCATCTCTGTCTTTAGGTCCTTGGACATGGTCTTGGGTTCCTTAAAAGCCATCTTGGGGATGGGCCTGTCATCTTTAAGTGGCTGGTTTTCTTTGGGTTTCTTCGAGGAATCTTTGGAAAGTTTACTGGGTTCCCTGGTAGGTTCTTTAAAGGCACTTTTATGCTCCTTCGAGTCTTTTAAAGATTTGTCTTTGTGCTCTTTCATAGGCTTATGAAGCTTTGAAGAACTGCTGCTGCTACTATTAGTGGTGGTGGTAGTAGTGAGGGTGCTACTACTGCTCTTAGCCACATCCTGAAAAATACATTAAAACAAAATTATAATGATGAAATATAACTGGTTTAAAAACAATTTTTGGCTTAGTATACAATTTCTATGCATTGCCACCCAGTAGAGTTGAAAGTAACATCTTACTACTGACTTGTAAGACATGGATTAGCAATAATCAAATTTATGAATTTTCATTGCACACTTCTAAGCATAGCTTTCAGTCCTTGACTGCGGACATCCAACAATAACAAAAAACTTATGTTCCTTCAATGAGAAAGCCTTTTAGTTGCTAGCACCTAGGCTATGAGATGACCTCAAAGGTCTGAAGAGTCTCTTCTTATTTGTAACTTTTCTAATCTTCTTATAAAAGCCTGTTGTATAGTTACCATTTTTAAATCTCAACTGACAACTTCACGGTACCCTGGCTTTTACTATCAGACTTCTTTTTGTACTATATAAAACAAATAACAGAATTGATCATTGTGGAAGTGCGTCCCTATGCTTGTAATGTCATTATTTGGAAGGTTTATATTTAGTGCAACAACATGAAAAGTCAGAAACATTTAAACTGGTTTAAAAGGATTTGCAGAAAATCCAGAAATCATGTACTTAACCCTAATGACCCTACTGGATCTTATTCAAATACTTCTAATTCTTTAGCTTGCAAATACAAGAGGGAATATTAGTGAGAAACACAATAAATGGAAATCAACTGAAAGTTCATACTACGAATTGTTCATGTTCATTTTGCGGTTATAAAGAAAGATACCGTACAATAATATGCAGGTGGTTACCTAGAATTTGATAAGAAAATTATTTGTTAAAGTTTTAGGATCAACAAACATCTACCAAGAAGGGACCACTGACATCCCCTTGTGTATAACCCATCTTAAAATAAACATATAGGTCTATTGGTTTATGGGAGAGGTTTTGTAGCAATTTTTTATGCTTATTTTTCAAAATTGAAATCAATGCCTCTTCTTAAAAACTGGAAAAGGTATTTATATACCTGTACTTCATTCTTCCCATGCAATATATATTATATGAATAAGAATAACATCTATTAAATAAAAGTACTGGCCCTTAAACAAAAGATGAAAACTTAAAATATTGCCCATTTCTAATTATGAAACAATGTTTTCGGATGGGACAGCAAATGGCCCATGCACATGCATAGCAAACACCTTAACAGGGGCTATTTGACAAAGATAAGGGGATTTAATCTCCTTAACAAGCAGTCCCGTTTGTTCCCTGGGTCATGCTTGCTTGCCCTTGTCAATATTTCATCAATGCAGTAAAGCCATTAGGAAGTCTAGACGAACAGCAAGTTACGAGCTGCCTTGACCACCTTAAAGCATTTATTTTGTCTTCTGCTTGTGACCCCTGAACCTCTTAGCATGAGGCTCTTTTTTCCTCACAGACAAAACAGCCCAAAGTTTGAGTCACTGCAGGACTCCTGGTTCAAATGTCCAAATGCCTGTTTATTTGGGAGGGAAGTTTTTATTGTTCAAGCACAATGTGTGGTTCTAGGCAGCATAGCACATCCAGACTTAATTTATAACTAACTAAACTGGGCAGGAAGCTTTTTAAGACCATGGCCAAGAGCTGATTCCTGCTTAAGATTAAACCTCCCAAGTAAGGGTGAAAACTGCATATTGCCTCAGAAGTGAGAGAAAACCCATTTTCTGAAAATCTTAAAGTGTCAGATTATGGTTTCTGTGCCTCTGCACATCACATTTGCTTTTCTCATTGTCTTCATAACTTTTTTGATCAGTCCTATTTTCTTTCTCAGGCTGGCTTCCATTTGTTGTTTTCTGTATGCCATATACTTGTATTCATATATACTTGATATATCAACTATATCCTTTATCAAAATACTACAAAATTATAAATCTCTCTACGGGACCCAAGCATTGACCAAGAGAAACGTAGGAGAAACTGTGCTACATAATAATGCATATAGTTGCCGAGCCCAAAAAATTATTATTATTTTCTAAGCATGTTGAACAACAGTAGATCCAGCTACAGATGTCTTCTAAAATGCTGAAATGTTCTTTGCTTCTCAGTGCAAAGCTGTACTCCTGTATTATTTCCTGATGTGTATTCCTCACATACTTAAACCAAAACAGTTTACTACATAAAATTACATTATAAAATAGTGAGAAACATTTTAGGATGGTTGTGTTACAATTTTTAAATTCTAAGAGAAAGGTTAAAAATGGTTCTCAAACACTGAATTCACCTCCTTACCATCCCTTTCCTTTTTACTTATGGTCTGTGCAAATCTAGGCTGTCATTTTCCTTCATGCTACAATTTGTCAAGCTGAGTAAGCAAAAAGAGCTCCTGAGAAGAGGTCTCAGAGCTGAAAGCCAGGAAGCACAGAGGAAACAAATTAGAATCCTACCAAGTGCACAACTCCATTTGAGGGGCATTATGTTCTTTACCCTGTGGAATATTAACCTGCGTCTACATTGTCAGTATTCTATACTTGAATAATTGGTAAGCCTGTAAAATAATAGCTAGTAGGAAGGATAATATTCACTCAACACGCCGACAATTATAGGAAAACGCAGATAATGCATGTGTTTACAAAAATCAGACTTAAAGCTTCTACCATTTCAACCAAGTTTACAATACCAAGAAAATTGTAGGACTTACTCACGTTTCAAAATGGGAATAAAAAGGCAAGAATAAAAAAAGCGAACAGATAAAATAAGTGAAGTGTTGTCCCAATACTTTGTGGAGAATGAGGGGTGTTTCAGCATTTTTATTTTTCCAATCAATGCTTTCCAGCAAACACTTGAACAGATTTGTCGTTACAAAGATGAAGTTAACACTTGTTCAGAGGAAACTTTTGTCTTATGTGACCTCTGACCAGTTAGTAATCCATCACTGGTTGCGTCTGTTTTGATTTAAAAATGTTTCCATGTGCAGCAAATCATTTTTAACCTCTAACTCACATGACTGGCCTTATGAATGATTCCAATACAGCTCAAGGTAAATGAAACCACTTAAGACTACAAATAGCACATAATGGCAGCAGTATGCCACATTTCAAACTTGTATAGTTTAGTAAGGGAAAGGCAAGCAAACAAAATATGAAGACTGAAGTCTGAGCTACAGAGGCTAAATCACATTTCTTTTCTTAAACTTTACGCTGGATGTCGCTTTTAATATTCAGCTGGAGGAGATAATTGGCTAAGTACAAGCTAAGTGTGACACTGAAATGGAAATGCAGCAAAGGAGTAATTTTCTATGTCCTCAGAACCCCATTGTGCATTTTTTTCCCCAGAAGTCCTTAATCACATGCAAACCATCACTGACTACCACTTAGGAAAGCAATATAAAGGTATAATTCAGGTGTTGCCTGGAGTGCATTTGACTTTTTGAGTTTTTTTATTTCAGCTAATGCAAGCTATAAGTCCTTTCCATCCAGTTTGAAATAGCGTAATCTTCATAATAAGCCTTACTTATTGTCACTTGTGTTGGAAGAAGAAAAGTTTTAGAAACAATACCTGCCAGTCATTTCAGGAAGACATTTAGCTGAAAATGTCATTTCTCTTAACCTAAAATGTCCCATAACACCATAATGAAACTGAATCACAATTCTGTACAAGCAAAATAAATTCAATTGTAAAATATCAGAATCGACATTATTCACTGGTATGAGTAACTGAGCTTCATGTACTAAAGTTTAATATATTTTAGATTAAATTTAACATTATCTGGAAACAATTTTGAACATAGGATATAAAAAATTGGTTCAACACAAACAACTACTCAACTGTTTATTACAGTGGAAACATGACAGAACACAAAATACATCTTACCACAACAACCAGAAAGTACTACATTTTGGATTTGAAGAAACGTTTTGACAAACATTAGCAAAGTCTGTTTGCCAATCGTTCCTGGAAAGTGCCACTGACCTTTGACCCATGGGAGGACTTGCTCTTCTTCATGTCTGAGAACGTCAGTGTCAGTGAGCTGCTGGGAAGGGCAGGAAGCTTGAGGTGTTGCCCAAAGAGGGACGTAGAACCCTCCTGCATGACCATAACCTGACCAAGACAAAACATCGAGACAACATAGTTAAAAGAAATTCAGAAAAGGCAGAAATACTTTAAATAACATGTATTAAAAGGACAGGTGTGTGTGAAAATATGGATGGTTAAGTTTTGTGAAATTGAAATGTAGTTTCTCTTTTAGTTTTAAAGTGTTTAATTCTAAAGAAGGCTCGGAACAATCCATTCAAAGTTTTAAGATAATGAAGTTTAATATTTCCCCAATTCAAAACTAAGTTGTGGCTACTTTTCTTGATTTACAAATACCACATGCAAAAATACAAACTTTAAGAAATTACAAGTAACTTGAAAATTACAGTTATTTCAATTAAATTCAGAGTCTTGCCAAGTTCTCAACTAGAAGACTAAAATGCATTTTATGTGTTCAATAAGGCTAACAATTCAAAATGAATAAGTATTGCTGATAAAAAAGGCTTAATAGCTGGTTCCCACATTGTTAATCTCTTTCAAAATAGTTTCTAACGATATTATCCTATCTAAGGGTCTGATACAATCTTAAATTTCTTTGGTGAATGTCCAACGGATATCTCCAATGTTGCAGGAAAAAAAAAACAGGTCTTTACTTATGTTATGTACTTCTTTTATGCCTAAAAACCTGGTATGCCAGGTTTCATGCATAAAACATGATATTTTGATTATAGAAAGATAATGAGTTTACCTTTCTAGCAGAAACCAAGGCACTGTACAGAAACAATAATTCAGACAGAACAATTCTAGCAAACAAGCAAATAGAGACATGGATGATTTAAGAAGTAACTGGTGGTTATGCTTTATCAAGACTAGTCACAAGGTAGAAACTACTGTAGATGTGTTTTCTGACATTAGCATCCCTAAGCCCTATGTATTAGTAAACTAAAGCTCCACTTAAATGGCTACTTTTGGCAAACACAAAACAAATCTTGAATTAAAAAAAAATTACAACAGGACTCGTTACAATAACTAATACACAGAAGTCTTTTTGAACTCCAACTTACTTTACGGCTGGTACACTTAACAAAATTATACATACAGTACACATTTTGTTTTAAATATTTTATTTAAAACTTGAATACTAAACCTAAAGACTTCTAAGGGTAATTTACAGCAAATGTAATCAAACACTAAAGACAAGAGACTGAAATTGATTGCCTAAGTACTCAGACTTACAAACTCTATCTCTTCTAGCTTTGCACACTAGCTTGGTCCAATGTTTGCCCATGTTTTAGCAGATTTTAAACTTTTTGTGCATATTCCTAGCAGGATTCAAGTAGGAACTTTGACTGGGACACTTTCTTATTCTTAAGACACTACAGTATAGCTTTGGTCTTGTGCTTTGGGTCACTGTCCTGATGAAAAGCAATTGGCCAGTTTTACCTTTAACAAATGGAAATGGGCTTTTTTTTTTCCTAGTACTGGTCTAACGCACCTTTCCAGTCACTACTGAGGAGAAGCGTCCCTATAGCATGATGCTGCCATCAGTGGTGATTGGGAGATGTGTTGTATTGGATCTACACTAAATGGCTTGCTTGTCCTTCAGAGCAAAATGTTTTAATTTGGTCTCATCTGGCCACACATCTTATGCAACATTTTTGCAAGACCACTTAAATGCTTTGTTGCAAACCACAAACTGCATGCAGGATACAAAGTGGGTTTTCCATTCTGCAACACCCCAGTTCCTCCTTGCTACTTAGTTTGGAGGAATGTGTTGATCTCAGTAGTGTCTGGGGGGTATGATGCTTTATGCTTACATGGTTGAGTTTTTGCATACTGTACGACAACTGCACAGAGACAAATGAGAACTTCTATATTTGTACACAGAGGGCACATAACCAATTACAATTAAATTAATTATGGAGACCGTTCAGGTCATTTTTGCATTTTAATTTCTGTTGATCAAAGCAATACCAATCCAATCATACCTTTTCTATTTTTTCCCCATATCATCAATTTACTTTTTTTTTTGCTTTGAATGTGTGGAATGGGATGCAATAATAATAATTAATAATTCCTTACACTTATATAGCGCTTTTCTGGACACTCCACTCAAAGCTCTTTACAGGTAATGGGGACTCCCCTCCACCACCACCAATGTGCAGCCCCACCTGGATGATGCACCGCCAGCCATAGTGCACACAGTACGCTCACCACACACCAGCTGTCAGTGGGGAGGAGAACAGGGTGATGAAGCCAATTAATATATGGGGAGTATTAGGAGGCCATGATTGGTAAAGGCCAATGGGAAATTTGGCTCGGACACCAGGATTTAACACCACTACTCTTTTCGAGAAATGCCCTAGGATTTTAAATGACCACAGAGAGTTAGGACCTTGGCCTTATGTCTCATCCAAAGCATGCATTAGGACCGCCACAGACAGCAGGGTGAGCACCTCCTGCTGGCCCCAGCTTCAGTGAGCTGCCAGTTGTGAGTAGCAGGGCGATTTGGCTGCTGTTGTGTATAACGAATATCAATTGCCTTGACTGCAATTTTTAAGCAATAAAATGTGGAGTGTGAATGCTTTTACAGAGCACTGTATATTAGAGCTTGTAAAATGATATCCAGAACAGGCTGATAAACTGAACATTAATATGATGGCCAGGAAAATTCAATTTAATTTTTGAAGACAATATCACTTCTACATTTTCCACAAACAGGCTGGTAAAACATAAACCCATTTAGATAACATCACCTGAATAATCATCACATTAAAGGCATTTTCTATGCAGCTTTCAAAAGGATTTGTGATCAATCACACACTTTAAAAAGCAGGCCTGATGTTAAATATAAAGAAAAAAATGCATATTCAATATACAGATGTCACAAAGAAGCTATTAAGACATATCGGACAATCTACTGAATGAAAAATGACACTATAGTATTTAAATAAACAGTATTAACATGTTACCTCACATGAAGATAAACCCATTTCTGAGATCAGATTTTGTCAACCTTGAAGACAGTTGCAGCAGACTTTTGTGATGCAGTTCAACAGCTCATTGCCTTCTTGATTTACTTTCATATTAGGAATCCACCATTACTTAAATGATTTGACTGAATAAATGAGTAGCAATGAACTGGCAAATACATTCTTGATATGTGGATGGCATGACTGTGGAAGTGTTCTACACTTGGAGACAAAACTGCATGCTAATGCTAGTTTCATGAACTGTAAATTGTTTCTGCCTACAGAAACATAGTATTTAAAAGTACTGGTTAAAGAATGCTTACCCTTCCACAAAGCACATGAACCTAGCCCTGCAATGCCAGTTAAGAAAAGTCATTGCTGAGGCCTCTGTTGTGGCTCTGCTGGAAGGGAAGTTCGTCCGACAGGGGTCACATCACAGGCCGAACAGCACTGGGACAAGTTGTGTATTGGAGGCACAACTGGCTGAGCACCACCAAGGGCAGGATGGGATCAGCTGGTTCTCTGCAAAACGGCAATTCCTGCGGCCTCACAGTTGCAGGTATGAGTATCGTCAGTCTTCTAATCGGCTGTGAGCCGAAACATGAAATCAATTGGCTATTCCAAATTGGGCCAAGCATAACACAGTTAGTTGGCAAAATTGTTTTTAAAAACAAATGCACTGCTAGAGTATGACCAACTCCGTCAACCCCTTGAATGACTAAATACAATGTGATTTTACAGTAGACAATTATTTGAGAAGAGAAATTGTTTTGACAGCACTTAATCATTTTGTGATTTCAAAACACTGAATAATAATTGACCTAATTTTGAATTCAGGATAGTATTTTTTTTATGTTTACTCTCACAGATTGATCTATTTTATAGCAAAGATTCACCATCAACATGAAATTTGTTCTTTTAACATTGAAAGCATTGACTTCACGCTATTTCAGTTTATTTGATAGGGATTTTGTAAAAGACTGTTCTACATGTCAGTTCAAACTTGACATTTTATCTTTGGAATGTTTCTCTGTTTATAAAGGGTTGAGTGAAATGTAACATTCAGTAAGCACAGGTTTCACTTTTTTACTGAAGGACTGAACAGTAAAGCTGAAACTCTAGAAGTATTAGTAGTCAATTTGGTAGGAACTTTATCCTCAACTATTTCACACAGCTCCATATAGAACAGGCTGCCAGTTATCTTTTGTTTTCACAAAATAAGTAAAGGTGGCTTAATGGAAAGATAAATGTTATCACATGAAGTGATGAAATCCTACATTTCTAATCCAGCTTCCAATTAACCTAAACTCAAGTATTAAAACCACCTCATACCAAAAGAAGGTTATGACATATGTTAAAAAAAACTCAAATAAACCCGTGTGAAATTAATGCAGGGCACAGATGCTAAATGCCAATTCTTTAATGCATCTAAGTGTCACAGGTGTTTTCAAATAAAAAGGACTTATGCTTCCACACCCTTTTCAACAGGATTTGCAGGATCAAAAAATAAAACATGACTACTTTGCCCTTAAAAACTTGTCTGGATGGGTTAATGTTATTCATCCGTGCACTTTTTGCATGTACAGCAGTTCTGGAATGAATCACAAAATAATTTGGCAGGAACTCCATCTCAAATGTAGACAATTCCTCCTTATAATTTGAATGCTCCTTCCAGATACTAGAATGTTTTAATTGTCTTCTATTCCTATTATAACAAAACTCTTAAGTACAAAACCAAACCAGTTTACTTAGTATTTCCAGATTATTTTTCCACTATTAATTTCCACTATTTCCAAATGTACTTTTGTTTCTGAAGGTACTAGTCATCTTTTTAAAAACTGCATGGTATTCAATTAAGGTGCCAGATTGACAAGCTGAATCAATATTAAACCAACAAATATTCCATGATGGGTACTAGATTTTATTCTCCCTTCAGCCTTTTTTATATCATAAAGGTTAAATGCAGTGTTGTATTAAAACTTTGCCTAATCTGAAGGTGCATAAGTCCACTGGATATGATTCTCTTGCTTTGTATAAAAGCAGCTACCCAATGAATAAAAATAAGACTAAGGATTACAGCTTCTGGACAGACCAGAGAAATAGTGTAGGACTACAGCTTAATTGTTGCCTGTTTCATTTCTAGTTTGTCCCACTTAGGGGACTAGAAAGAGAATAGTAGTAGCCTCCTAGTCAAAGACACTACACAACTAGCAAATTAAAATTCTCTAAGCACACTTCTATAAAATAGCTATAGTGGTTTCCAATTAGGGTCTGTTTTATAGGGTCCTCTACATTTCTGAGGGGAAGTAAAAATTAAAACCGCATTACTTCAATACAGTAACAACTTATTCCTCCCTTTGGAATAATATTGCCAAAGATTAATGCAGTATATAAAAGTATTATACTTTTTCAAGCTACAAAAGTTTGTACATTTAGGATTTTTTTTAAATAATCCTTAGTTTAGATAAAACAAAATGTTACTATGATCAAGAATACGTTTTATCTGCTTGTATTATGATTTAAACATTTTAAAATCTAGTAAACACATCTATTAATGTAAAACTTCTTGTTTTGCATGAACATTAATTTTATGTAACTCTTAGTTAACATCATAAAAAATGACATTACATCATCGGAAACCACTTTAAATTGGCATGTATACATATATACACATATATAAAAGGAAAAATCCATTATGTATGTCCCTGGATTTGTTAATTATCTCAGCCTGCACATCTTTAAAAAAAAAATGCATGGTTAGAGTAATCCACCATATTTCAGCTTCAAGGAGCACACTCTCCATTGACTGGACAAAATAAGATGTCATTCACAATCAACACTGCCAGCTTATGGGCACTTAAGTAAAAAGATCTTACTCTTCTGTGGTAAAACAAAGGCTACTCTAATTCTTGACAGCAAATATTGATAATATTCACTAGGGCTCATGAACAGAAAACATCTCAAAAGTAAAACATGTTCATAACTCAGCAGTGTGTAAGTGATGCATAAGAGCAACACATTCTACTGCATAGGGTTGTTCATTGACTGTTTCAATGTTCTGTTGTTTTTGTCAAGAAGTGAAACAGAATATCTCCTATAATTGTTTATATATCTATATATATTATATCTCTCCTATAATTTGTGACTTTCAGAGCTTTCCAGGCCATCAAAACTTCTATTAACCGGTGGAATGCATATATTTTTGCCTAATATCTCATTTTCTCTATAAAACGAACATGTCCACAGCACAACAAATATAGAAAGCAATACTATACATGATTCTGCTTTAATGTATGACGTGTAAATTAATTCGCCCATCCAGCCTATCCAAAAACATTAAATACTAGAACAAATCCATAATCCTTTTTGCCCTAAATGTGTACTTACATTCCGTAACAGAGTTCGCTCCACCAAATACAATCAACATAAGAAGTATCATCAGGGCAAGTGAATCTTTAAAATTTTTGACTAATAGAACTGTAAACTTACTTTAGAGTCTTCTGTACTTCTTTTCTGAGGATCTCTTTGCTGTCAGGGACATAAAAAGAAATGCAATATGTTCAACACAATCATGTAGATGCATATATCCGTAGAAAACCGGAGGAGATTTTTAGAACAGACATTTCTACCCTACTCAAAATAATTACACAAAAACCTACAGTTTAATTTACATTGTTCAATAACTGAGGTCAACAGATGCTACTCAGAAATCACATCAACCTAAGATTAAGAAATAAATCTTAAGAATTTAAAAGTTTATAGTAACTCTGTAGTAAAAGTTATGAGATACCCCTGGACAGTTAAATATTTCTCATTGAGACCACGTGCTTTATCATACAACAACCCCCTCTCAGGTTTCAGTGTTCTGCCACTTGAGCTTGATCTACACACCTATCTGTGAAGTCAAATGAGCGCAGAAGTATAACACAAAAAGCCATAAATCCACATTGCACTGAAAACACAAGTTGAACCTCTAATGAAGGTAAAGGTAATTAAAAAGAAACCTATGGAAAGTCAGCATTGCTTGGTAGGCTCTTCTACATTATTCTGAAGTGGCATGGCACTTTTCTAAAAGCCAAAAAATAACTTGCCAGTGATAAATGAGCAGGTTCTCCCTTGCTCACTCTAATCTGTTATGTTATGGTCTTGGCTACTGTGAGCTATAATTACATTAAATCTGCTACTTAACAATGCCAATAATTATGTAAAATTAGCTCAACAAGAACAATGTAGACAGCCAGGAAAATACAGATCCAGCCAATCAAAATGAGAAAGGTACGCTGCGTTAAAACGTCGTGGACATATCGCAATATACTGTACCACAACATACCGCATGTTTTTTTAAATTGGATAACAGTATCCAGAAGTACCTTGTAAAACAGCTAGGTGGAGCTAATAAAGCTTAACGTCTCATGTACAGCATTTGAGCTGTTGCCAGAAAACGCACAGTTTCAAATCCCAGTAATTGCTGACGGACAATTTAAGTTGTATATTGTTTAGACTTTTAATCATTTTAAACATTAAAAAGTCTGTATATTTTATAAAAGCCAGATTGCTCAGTTCGACAAAAGAAAACCTTCCACCTTATTCATAAATGATTTAATTATGCATCAATATTTTATGCATCAAAGTCTTTAACTAATCAATTTACAGTGGGTTATGGTTTTAACGTGCTTGTTCTAACATTATTAAGCTTTTAATAATTAAAAGTTAATTACACTTTATAAAATTGAAAAAGTTTTGTTTTATCCTTTTCTAAGAATACATACTGTAGTAAGAACACCACTTGCTGTTATTGTGAAAATATAAATGTTGTTGTGATTTAACATCACTTGATAGCATTACTTTCGGTTTTTTCCTTATATAGCCGAAAACATATAGTCCACTATTATAGCTTATTGTAAACATGATGCGTCTCTTTCAGGTTTACATCCGAATTGAGAAAATCTATATTTTGTATAAATCCAAAGTTCAGCAGCCAGTAATCAGCCAACAATTTAACTTGGAATAATAAAAAAAATTAAACTGTACTATACAGTGCACCGCCTGGGATTGAACCCAGTCCGACAGCGTCATTCAACAGGAAACCAGCTGGCTGAGCTAAAGGAGACCTCAGCCCAGGCGCCTGATTTGCTCTGGGAGGTCGTTTCTGGCAAAATTGGCTCCGGAGTGTGTATCTGGATGAATTATTATATGTGATGGTTTTGAGTTTAAGGATTTCTTCATGGAAATCTTTAAGTTAAACAGGGGAGGGGGGAATGGTTATTTTTTTTTACCATGGCCAGTAATCGGAAAACAGCCTACCAACACAATCAGCAAACAATTTTTTTTATTTTTAATAAAAATAAGATACAATGACGTGTCCCTGCCTAACATTGCATGACTTTAAAAGCTGTAAAAAAATGGTTTAGTTAAAAAACCAATCGTGTCTGTATTTATCACTTAGTTTTTAAAATTAAACAACGTAAATTGTTATCTTGGTCTTCTAAGTCCCTTAATTAACTTTAATAAGCTTTTTCAACATTGACATTTATTTTTCATAAAATTGTTAAACAAAGCAGGAGCGTATTGTCCTTCCTAATGGCATCACACATGGAAAGATTAGATTGTAATCGTTTTATTTTAAATAAATTTTAGCAAAATGTCATCTGTACAAAAAAAGTTGTATTTAATGACAATTGATAGTTATATTAATATAGAATCGTGTAACTAAAATATCACAGGTGGACATTTCGGAAACATTGACACGTTTCTTTTGAAAAAACTTTTATTCTTGTAGTGGTCATGGACAAAGCTCTGCACCCAATGGTTCAAAGCGCGATCAGAGTATTACGGTAGGTTTGTTTCTTATATAGTGAATACATAAAAATAGTCCACTATTATAGCTAGTTGTTGGCTCTGGCGTGAATTTGTGTATCTGAATAAATTAAGTGATGGTTTTATGAATAAGGATTTCTTCACGAAATTCTTTAAGTTAAAATAAGGAGGGAAGAAGGGTTTTTACAATTGGCACTCCCAAGATTCTGACCGATTTGATTATCCTCATTTAGCTGAAACATACATTAGTTGTATGTATAGGAAGGCACTATTTTATTAACGGACACTCTGACCCAAACCTGTGTCATACAGTGATATAGACGTGGGTAATGTCTTCCCCATTAAACAATGTGCTTATCGTGCTAATTCTGCTAAACTAGGAGCATTGCAGAAGGTGATAAACTGTACATTATTTACTGGAGCACAGCTGAGTTCAAAGAAGGAAGTTTGTGAAACCCCCATATTTATTGGTACCAAATATTGATGAGATGTCACAGTTCTGCACAGATTACAGAAAAGTGAATGCTGAAACACCACCAGACAACGTATGTACTGTTTAACCATAGTCAAGGACCGATGTGCTGTTCCCTTTTGTAACAGGGTTACTCCCTGGAAATTAGACAAGAAGAGTATTATTGGACAATGTGTGGCTCTGGCAGAATTTATCTGTATACTGAAAGGTTATATAGGAGAAATGTTGTGTATTGCCTCTTTTTACACTTGTAAGAACATTCCAATGACAATATGACATGGAAGATGTTATTAATAACTTTTTAAATCTAAAGCTGTTAACTACTTCACACCTGCATGTCAAGATCACTGGGGCTCTCCTTGACAGCTGACACTCCTCCATACGCTTAAGTGAAAAATTAATAAAAATGCAAATGTAAACGTCATATTTACAATTTGTAGAAAATAAAAATGGTTGTAAAGTTCTAAAGCATGCTCGGTAAAGAACGAGAATTCACGTAGAGAAAAAGATCAGCTAAAGAGGGAAGAAAACGCTGTCAGAGAAAACAATGTTTCAGTTGTAAAGAATACAGAGCCCCCATTCAATTGCATCCTAACCTTTCCCCACACACCCTGCCCCCGCAGCGATTGGAACATACACAAACAAAGCACTGAAAGCTTTACAGTAGATGCTCAGGTGTTTCGCAGACGTTGGGATAGTACGTAATTCTGGCTTTTTTTTTATAAGATGTGGAAGAAGTGCAACAAATTATAACATTGCGAATTTTAATATTATTGAATACTAATAGTTTATGCTAACATCTGACTTTATTTAGATGTAAATAGAACATTGAACTAAGCATAACATTCAGATAAAACGATCAAGAACAGACTGTGGTATTTGTATAGATGAAACTTTTCTAAACGTTTAATAAAAAATAGAAGCTGTTGAATGGTCTTTACAGTTAGTGGACCGTGTGCTATTTTTTTCAGCAACCCACTGACCAGCTTAACACATGATTTTATTTCTGTACTGAATGCGTGTTTTGTTAACAAAATTAAAGTGTTTAAAATGTTTAAGAAGTATAAAGAACTTACAGCTTGGACAAAGATTTTAAGCTGATTGTGCGGAAGAAAAACACCTGTTTTTTGTGCATAAGTGTTTTTAACCCATTTATATATATATATAAAGTCTTTTCATGTAGATTTAAGGTCCTTCTTTCAGTTAGATGGCATGATTAGCATGAAACAACTCGGGGTTATTGTTATGATTTCTCTATAATTGAATCCCTCAACACGTTCACTTGTGATTATTTTGGAAATATTTTGATGTTCCTTTTAACCACATTGCTGCAAATACTGTTGCAATAGACAACTAAATGCTCAGAATTTTTAATGTTGGGCACTCTGAACTAGTTCAAATTTGATGCAGTACAAATAAATGTATTTTCCACAAGCTATACTGTAGTGGCTTTAAAACTATACAACATCTTGCTGTATGTATGTAGCACACCTTTCTTCAAGTTTTAAAACTACAGTATGAAAAAACGAGTGTAAAAGAAAAACAGGACATTTGATTGCTGGTTGCCTTATGTTAAAGGGCAACAATGACTCAGAGCATGCAACTGAAAATTCATTTCCATCCTCCAGAACTGCCTATTCTACATGACAAACACAGTGGGGTGAAACACCTAGCCTAGCCTTTGTGAGAAGTACCGAGCTGTGTTACATAAAGTAACTGCAATGGAATATACTAATGGGAAAGGTTAATTCCAAGCAGGAAAGAAAAGACCTAACGTGTCTCCTCTATAACTCCTCAGCTTAAAGGTAATTTATTATTAATATCTTCTGCATCGCATTAAAATTGGAACGTTTTTTACAAATGTAAATCCACCTATTTTCTAACCGCTTTACCCAGAACAGGTAACAGTTCACCAATAATATTTGGTAACATTTTTTACAATTTTGACAGACTTCAGAATGCTTCGCCTGATGCTTAAAAATGTAAGAATGTATACTGTAGTAAGAGCACAGAACATCTTTCCGCCTGTGAAACAGGAAAATATAGAGGGGGTTTCAGAAATTAAACAGAGGTCTGGAACACCCTGTCTCAAAAATGGACATTTAACAAATTGAAGGATGTGAAAATGGTGACAAATCACCCCGAACAAAATACAATTTTAAAATACAAGCAGTTTGAAATCATTAGTTAATAAATCACTTAACTTCAAACATGCTGTGATACTTAAAAAAACCCAAAACATTAATATAGTGTCCATAATATTAACTATTTTAGTTTTTCAAAGAAATTTATTTTTTAAAAGAAAACTCAGGCCAGGAGCTGGGCTTGAACCCCCGAACTCCAGCATGCGAATCACACGCCAAAGCCATTACACCAACACACCACTTGACAATTTCTGCTACGGCTGAAAAGGGCAGGTAAAATGTGTCCAAGTAATCACGGGTGAATGAGTCAAATTGATGCAGATGTTTAGAAAGAAAGTGGATATATGAAAATATCATTAATTTATTTAGATATGCGATTCCATATAATATTCCTATTAATCAAATTTGAAAAGAATGCTTTTTTTACTGCGATAACGAGTACAAGTATTCATAGAAAAGGTTAAAACATCATAACCTTTTATGAAGTATATAAACTTAATATAGTCAGAAGTAGCACATAAAAACTTTTCCAGAATAACCACAGTAAATCCACAGGATTTTACTGCACATTTTGAATGGCTGCATCTTTGTATGCTTTACTCACAGGGTGTTCCTTCAGGTGGAAGACTCCCAAACTCTTATGTTAGGCATCAGGGCCTTACACTCACAGGCAGACTGTGTACCAGAATGACAACCAATTCTAGCACATCTGAATGGACTCACCCCTCCTGCCTTCAGCAGCTTTCTCCGGAACTCCTCAGTGGGGTTGTTGAAGGTGAGCTTTTCACAGCGGAGGTGGTTCACCGGGGGGTGACCCTCGAGGTGCAAAAATAAGTCGTAGTCAAAACGGACTTTCTTGGGCTCTTCCTGTTCAAAAGAAGCACAGGAAAATGCATACGTGTACAACAGTGAGGAATATGGCCAAAAATTAAAATAAATAATCCCCCTTCCACACCCAAAGAAAAACAGAATAGAAAATGAACCAGATACAAGTTGATTCCTGGCAAAAAAATGAAAACATTGTCCTATTATATATCCTCCAGATATATTTTACTTATGCGGACAACACAAACAGAAAGCCAAGTTTAAAGCCAACTAATGATGTTTGGTGTGATGAAGATCAACTATCCGGTGGAGCTGACTGCAGCCCCACTAAAGGGGGGAACAGAATCATATGAGCGTCCACAGCGCTCATATGTCAAGGACAACAAACTGAACTTTCTGAAGTTGAAAAAACGTGTCAAGCCTACCACATTCCAAAACAGTCTTCTTCTGGAGGGATGACCCACTCAAAATCATAGTTGTGCAAATAAATGAAATGATGAAAGTACTGCAAGAAAGTTGTTTGGCAGATTGATAGCCAAAACGTTCCAGTAGCCAAAATTACACTCTGTCCCACTTCTCTGCAAGGTCATCCTCTACTGTACAGGTACTGCAGAGATGCACCTCAAGTTTCTTGTGGACATTTTCTGCTGCAGTTGCTGCCAACTCGTGGCATACAGGTGGCACATCCTACTTCCTGCCAGTTATCCATGGAACGCCTGAATGGCCTGTTGGTCTCTCAAGCTGGAATATTACTTGGCAGAAGAATATTTCACGTCTTTAGAGGTTTCCTGTTGACTTCTATAGGTATCCCCTTATATAGTTATGCATCCCCTTTCAAAGTATATCCATTTGTGTTAAAACTCCTGTGTATGGAAAATAACAGGTCCTCAGCTTGAGACTTCCGCTCACCAGAGCCTATTCAGAGCACAGTTAGGTGCTAAACATGGGGCTAGAATAGTCATCTTTCTTTTAAATCTAAAGGTTCTTCTTTGGAAAAAAATGTATTAAATGTTTTTGTATACATATATCCACATCTCTTACACAGCCAGTTGTGGACTCTTGAGAATTGGAGCGCTCCAAGACACTGCACTCAAATAGCTCATTATAACATGGTGCTAAGAGATGTTGTAATATCAGCATTTTTTACTTATAACTGACATGAGGGAGTCATTGGGTTATTTCCTCTAGTATACTCTCCACCAGATAATTTTAATGACTTTTATATAAAAATACCTGACCAGGAACAATAAAATAAGCTCTGTTCTCCACAAGCCTTATAAATCTACTTATCCACATAAGTGCAGGTGTCCACACACTGTTGGTCACAAATGCTGAAAAAGTGAACATAAGGCCAAAGCAACATTTTGCTTTGAAAAAGAGTAAAAATTAATCCAGAGAACATTCACTTCACTTACTCTCAATGTCAACACCGAAATGATAACCAGGATGCCCTTTTCTTCCACGTTTCAGCCAGCTAATGGATTTTCTTTCAGAGTTTTTTTTATGCTAGAACATTTTATCAGTACCATGCACTTTTGAAGATGAAGAAAACCAAGCACTCAACTAGCACTCTAAGAGTCATGCATGTAGTTAAGGCAGTTACCGAAATATACAACCCTTGATTAACAAGAGGATGCAAAGAGGAAAAATACATTCATCATCAGGATGCCACTTAGTCCTGGTAAGGATCACAACAACCCAAAATCTAGCTGGGAAGAACAGGGCACAAAGCAAGACTACAGCCTTGATAGAATGTGAATCTATCAGAGGCCACACACACAGGGACAATTTAAAACCACCTATTAACCCACCTCTCATGTCTTTGGAAGGTGGGAAGAAAAGGGAGCCCTGGCAAAAACCCACACAGGAGGAGAAATGTGCATCTCTAAATAGATGGAGCCACTAGATTGGAATCCAACTCAGGACCAAATGTTGTTCAGCAACTCAAAGAAAAAAACAGCACTTAAAAATGTGATACAGCATAAAATATAAACCCTATTATATTGGGGATTTTAGTGTAGGAGGACAACAGTTTCTTCACTTTTGCAAGTAAAAATAAAAAACTTTGCATGCTTAAAACAGCTAATTAATCAATCATCTACACAGCAGTGCTGCAACTTAACAAGCTCCTGTGACAAAGTCGAATACGAATATCATCGTTCACCACCTTACAAAATCAGTCCTGTATCAAGCAAATCAAATGTCCCACATTAGCCACTACTGACAAAGTTGTTCTGGCAGCGGTAGATCTCAAGGATAAAACCAAGAAAAACACTACAGCTGCTAGTGAGAATAACTCATCTGCAGGTAGTCTCGTTTTCTGAAGTCCCAATTAAAGCAGGATGCAAACACCCCATGACTACACCTCAATCTTGCACCTGCCTACCTTCACAATGGCATTAGAACGTTAGAAGGCTGAAACTAATTTGTTCCAATTATGTCTCACTTTTGAGCCCAAATAACTTAGGATCTGCTTCTCCACTTACATTAAAAAGGTTACAAACAAGAGGAGACCATTTAGGCCATCTAGCTCCTTTTGCAGTTAATTGATCCAAGGATCTTATCTGGTAATTTCTTTAAAAAAGCCAGAGTATCAGCTTCAACCACACAGCTGAGTAGCTTCTTCTGGACCCCCACAACCATTTGGGAAGATTGTTCAAAATGTTATTTCAAAAGATGAAAAATAAAATTTGTTGAATAAAAACAGTCAAGTTAATAGAAAGAATCCTTTAACTGAATGACTGGAAGTTGCAGGATTGCCGATTGTTTAACAACAAGCAGGGTTGTGTAAACATGAATTATTTGTAATGCAGCGACTGACTGAAAAGTTAATTTGGCTTTGCAATTCCATTTGCCTTGGATTAACTGCATTACTATATTCTGGGTTAATTACCATGAGGCAGCAGTGTAAATTAGTACTTACTTTCTGTAGTCTAAGAACTGTTAAGAGTATAATTTCAAATTCCAGATACATGGCTGGACTCAAAATTGCTCCAGGAAAATGTCCAGTTGTATAAATGGGTACACTATAAGCAATTTCTAAATAGAACAGACAAATTAATAACAGCCTGCTAATTGCAGGACTGAACATCTTGATTTACAAATTCTGTATTTTATCACAGAAAAAAAGAGCTCATGCTTTAGAGTAAAACAACTCTTAGGTATGATTCACATTTTTTTTATTTTCACACACGGCATCATAGTATTTTCCCGTTTGTGTGAATGCTGTACTTTGATAATTTTGGTAGACTGGTAAATTTGTCATTTCTTTCATCAGTTCAGAAAGTCCAGCTTCTGTAAGAAACTAAAATAATCATGGGTATTCAGCTTTAAAATGTTATTCTAACTAGATATGACTCAGATATGTAAACTGCATAATTTAAGCAGAACAAAGTCAGTTTTAAAAATCTTAAGATTCAAAATGTTTATATTCCAGAATTATCAAAAGCTTATTGTTCCATTACTGCTTTCTCTTAAATCTGCTTTATCTATCACTTAAGCCTGTTCAAATATTGAATAAAATATATTTTAATTGAGTAAAACGGTGATTTTACTGTTTATAAGCTGTTCATAATTACACTCAGTACTATCAATTCAAAAATATACAAATTTTAAACCATCCAGCTATTTAGTTTGGAGGACGAGCCTGATTTACACAGTATCTGAGTGTCCTCTATTTAATAATGATTTGATTTAATGATTGAGTTTGTTTGCAACAGCAAAAAAATGTAATTATGAAAGAAAAATATTTACTTTTCCTTGTGTTGCTTTAAATGTGTGCTGCATGCTGTGTTTATAGCCAGTATAAAAATACTTTCAAAGCATTATGAGTGCAAGCGTTAAAGAAAAGGGGTAAACTGTCTGAATAATTTTCCTTGGCACTGTAAATGATGCGTGTAGGAAGGTGTATAACTGAAATGGTTGCCCATGTGGGTGGAACCATTTGGGAACCATTGGGTTATTTTACTCACTTTAATCATGTAAAAACAACTCCTCACCAGAGCAGTATCAGGCACAGAAACCAGTTTCAATATGGCATGTTAAAAAGTAAAGCCTTTTAAATCAGCAGGATTGCTGCAGCAATTGTTCCTAAAACATGATTTGATCATCTCGGTCATAATAATAGAGTGACAGCCAATGCCCAAACTAGCACATCAGGTTGTAGTACGGCAGGAGCACAAATCTGATGATCAATAACGTCTGTCACTGAAACACAAAGGATTTTAAACTTTGATTCCTTAGGTCTTTGTTAAGAAAGCACATGAGCTTTTTTAATTCTCTTTTTCAAGCAAATGTGCTGGTAACCTACTGAGCTCAAGCAGAGATGTGAAGGTGCAGCTTGTAATTGACACCGTCATTTCCTCTTCAGAAAGATACTGGCGCCACTCTTCCACTATCCAACAAGCAATCTAGCTCTGTATTACTCTGAACATGACTGCAAAGAAGCATCATGAAATTGGCCTCATCAGGTGTCGGGCCTTTCAATCATCCACCTCATGGCAAGTCATACTGTATGTGGGCCCAGTTGATTTCTTTGCGACTTCTCAAAGCATTAATAGTCCTCCCAACCACAATAAAAAAAAGTCTTGCAACTCAGAAAATTGAGGAGCCTCTATGTAGGGGTCCTAGAATTTGATTAGTCAGAGCTTCTGACCAATGTGATACTGCAGTAGACTAGGAAGTTGTCTGTTTTAAACATCACAAAACAAACACCTCCAGTATATCTCAGATGACAGGAGAGTGCATAACCACATGTGCTTCACTTCCAGCAGGCTTGTTCTAACTTAGTTATTCATTCACTTTCCTTTTATCATATCTACCCAGCTTATTTTAAGAATGCAAACATACACATACAAACACAAGTTGGCAAGGCAGAAATATTGAAATTCATCATAAATACAGTTTTATACCAAAAGAATAAAAATAAAATAACCACATCTTCCAGAAGCTCCTGAAACTAGCAAAATGGAAATTCACCAGCAATTGTTTTCACTGAAATGCTGTTAAGTGGAGTACCTTGTTTTTGAAGTATACTTCAATGGGCAAGATAAAACCGGCGTACCCAGACTCTTCCACTTTATATGGTGGGTCCTTGCACACTGCAACAAAAAAGGGGAAGGAAAGAAAAATGTTGAGTATTGATCTCTAATCTACACTTACCTTCAAAGACAAATGATCAACATTACCACTGATCCCATCTGACTCCATTAGGTGCACACTGCCCAACCTACATTTTGCACCCCTAGGAACATGGATGTAAAAATAAAGATACAATAATTTCACAGTTTATCAAATGTAGTCATCTGCTAAAGAAGTCAGTGTCTGTGGAAATGTTAGGTCTTTTTCAAATAAACAATGATGAAATGAAGAGAGAAAACTTTATTGGATAAGCGGGCAATTTCACCTACAGTTCTCAGCACATTTAAGCATATTCCCAATAAAACCGCTTTTGTAACCAGCTTCAAAATCGTGGAGGTCAAATACTATAGATCTGCAGAGTACAGAGAATTATGTCAGTAACCATGATGATGCAAGAGATTACTGAATGTTGTGATTGCATAAAAAAAAAACTTTCAGCAATGCTTAAACAACTGAATAATATATCAGAGTAACAGGGTACTGGTATCACTTATAATACATTGATACTTCAGTAGCAATATGTAGGGCTAACCTTAATAGGAAATACAACAAATAATTAATTAATATGTGAATATATATAGAAACTTCTTTAGTCTGAATTGGCAGTGTCGACACATATGAGCCATTCATTTGATGTTGACTAAGGAATGTCTCAGTGTCAACAATCTCTAAAAAGGTAGAATAAACTCCAGGGATCTTATCAAAAAGACTGCATTGTTCACAGATGCTCAAAAGAGTATACAGTCTTTATATACAGTATATATAGATAAAATAAATTGTTCCAGAGGCATTCATTTGCATTTTAATAACTAAAGCAGCATTCTGTATCTGTAAATTCTCAAATTCTCTCTAATTTGCTAAATTATTAAGTAATCATACAACAGACAGACTCAAGCTTTGTCTGAACCAGACACTAGAAAAGTACAAGATCACGAGACTTGTAAAAACCAATCCTTAATTCATTTAAGAGCTGGACTTCTGAAAAGGTCAGGGGTCATTCCACATGACCTCAATTCCTCGTTGACCTCAGCACTTTTGATGTCAGTGAAAATTAAAAAAAAATGTTTATCCTTGGGGGAAATGATTAATCTGATTTCAAGTTCCTGAATGACCAACTAGTGAGGAGACGAAGGTGCTCTAATGCGAGACAACCTTATCCTCATCACAGATAAAGAAGGATTATTTTGATATTTTAAAATTGGTAATGAAAATGAGGTCATTTTGACTTGTTGGTATCAATTATCTCAAAAAGCACTTCTCAAAATGGCCTCAATTATCTCAAGGTCAAAATTAGTTTGACCTTGGGGGATCCCACAGTGAGCAGGATTCCCCAAGCAGTACTACACAACTGACAAAGCTTTGGGATTACTCAAGCAGGACCGGGCAAGCAACCTTTGGCATCCCAAGCACCTGTTGACTTGTGGGACATTTCTCACAGATGCCACTGCTTCACCAATTGTTAACAATTCTCACTTTTTTTTTTTTTTTTACACAAAGCAGTAACTTGTTACATGTCACCTCATTCAGTACACAGTTGAATACACCTACACTGGGTTGGCTTATAAAATACAAACACAGAAGAAAACATAGAAGGGTAAAAAAAGATACAGGAAAATTATTTACAGCCAAGGTATGTTTTTTTCTTTTAAATTTCAACTTGGGCAGGGTGTAATCATCACACTGTGCTTTACTGTTCATTTGAATATGCATAAACTATGCACCTTCCTGTCAAGACTATCACCAGCTGAATAATTTGATTTTGTAGGATAGTCTATGACAAACTGCTCAATCTGGTCACCATATATTTTATTAAAGATCAAAGTTTTCCATAGTATTACAGCACATGCAAAAAATGGAAAGGAATTCAAAGAAGCCATTTACTTTTAAGTAACCCACCAAGCTCACACAAAAAGATCAGATCTTTCAGTTCAGCATGACATAACATCACTGTCAAGCCTCACATTTCTCCAGATTTGTGTAATGGCCAAGATTAATGTAAACAGTGCCACATATTTTAAGCACATAATGTACAATAATGGAAATCAAGAACTTCAGTCCCATTTTTCACCCTGTGCAGGAGCATGCATTTCTCTAGTGCATGCCCCCACAAGTCACTTATTTTGATATTAAGAAGGTGCAAGCTATAATTCCATTAAAACACAGTATTTTATTATCCCAGCAAGACCAAAAACGAAATGATATTCCTACTAGTCAAGTAGAATGAAGGTTTTACAAAGCATTAAACTGACCTCTTAAAAACTGGTGCCAATGCCACAGCACAACTTAAGCTGTTTATTAGCTAACACTTGCAAAAAGTCGGAGTTTTTGGCCCTAAAAGTAATGTGTTCAGGAGAAAGTGGCAGGTTTCCAGAAATTCAAATGCTTAGTCAGCCTGCTGTCTTTAAGATGAGCTTCATTCTCCCTTTAAGAGTGCTTAATTGATCCTGACAATTTGGTATTTGAATGTCAAGAGAACGGTCATTAAACAAATATGCTCTATTGGTCAGTTTCAGGCGTTAAATCTGATTGGGAAAATGAGTTCTCAAAATACAATGAACAATGAATAGGCCTTTACTTCTTCACACTGACAGTAACAATAACTCTTAATGTTCTCCGCAATAAAACATCACGGTAATCCATACCAATCTACTAAACAATCTTCATTTTTTAACCAGTGTTTTATCCTCTGTTTAAATTAATTGACTGACATCCGCACTGGCTAGCCAGCAATCTATCTTGTTGCCAGGGTAACAGTGGCTCATACTGATAATGTTGTATAAATATTTTGGGTCATGATTAATTGTGCAATTGAAGGTCAGATTTAGCCATATGGAACTAAGAAGGTTTCATTTAAAAAACTGCTTTAGACTACTTTTTGCAAGACAAAATGCAGTAAAGCAGAAAATGTTTGAGAAGCAGCCCTCAAAATTCCATAGAGTGACTGATTTATCACCATTGGTGAAACATATTTCAAAAACTTTTAGAATGTTGTGTCCGTTTTTCCCTGAGAGTATACCTATATCATTATACCCCTCACACCCGAAGAAGGCTCCACAGCCGAAACGTTGTTTTTGTTCTTCTCTTTTCAGCATGAAATGAGCCTTTAACTTGTTCCTTTGCAGCCTACGTATGCTGACGCAACTACCCACCTGAACTCTTTCTACCTATATCATTAATGACTTCTTATAATAAAGGATATATCAGGTTTAATAAAATTACCCTTTGGGGTTAAAAAAAGAACAAGAAAAATAATTTTACAATAATTTATTGTTTTAACCATGGTAGATCAGCATAAGTTGAACAGGTCAGTTTACATCCTTTAAGAAACCCATGACAGGAACTTGGCCAATGATTACAGCAAACTCTAACGAAGACCGAGACATCTATGCTTTAACTGAGCTGTCAGAAAGCACTTGAGCCACAGACAAAACTGAGATGGCATTTACTACAGTATGTATCTGCCTTCCCCCCGCCCATCAGAAATCATTTGTTACGGTCAATTTAAATATTGCATTATGAAGAACTTCTCACAGAAGGGAACTACATTCACACTGAGTATATATGTTCACCTTTAATTGCAAAGAAAATGTCACAAAATTAAATACTATATGCAGAATTTAAGTCCCATTTCAGTCATATCAACAGATGTGTGTAAACAATGTGTCCAGACAAATGTTTATGAAGAAGTTAAAAGTATCCATGATGCTTTATGATTTGTACACTTCGACATGTAAAAGATATCTTAATTTTTACAAGGTTCATATCCTAATCATTTACTTATAAAAATGTATCTACTTAAAAAAATACCAACCGCTATAAACCACTTTACATACTGTACATTTATCAAAAGGTCAGATTTTCTAGACCATTTTACCTAAAACCACTACCATTACTTGTCAAGTAAACACTATTTTTCCATCACTACATTCACTAACATTATCAAAAGGTAATGGGTACCCCTGGAAACAAATGGCTCAATTGTAATATAACTGCAGCCCAATCTTCAACTAAAATTTTTAGTTTGCATAACATAATCCAGGCTACTTTATCTGCCTAGATACCCCTAACATTGCTTGGAATTAAAGTTTAAAAAGCTATACACTGTTGCCCTAACAGTGTAACAAGCCCATGATGATGAATAATAATGCTGACAAACAGTTCTAAATAAAAATAAAGCAGTATTTTGTTTTACTTTAACTCCAGTTTTAAGCATTTTGATAGAAGTGGCTCACTACACTCCACATTACTGAAAAAAAACTGAATAATTTATAGATACCATTGTAAACAATGTCATATTTGTTTTAATTCACATTCTGTTTTGCTTACTTTTAGGTAGGTTCTGCAAAATGGTCCTGATTCAGCTACGTTAGAAACTACAAGACCTTTCCTAACTTCAAATAACTAATGCTTTTTGCACACGAAAAGTGCAACTCATCAATACATTGTGAGTCCTGAACAGCAACCCAAATTTCCATCAGCTAGGAAAACCATCCATCTCAGCCAAAACAAAGCAATCAGCAAGCAATGACATTTAATATCACTACGGTGCGGAAAATGTGACAGACTCCTGTCTATATAATTAGTTTTGATTATTTAATGCCATTTGACTATCTAACCAACCAACGAAACTGATTTAATTGCACTACAGTGTCATGTTTGTTGCTTTAAAGTGGATGATTCACACATTTGTCTTCTATTTGTGTCTCTGTGATTACAATATTATTACCAGAGCTTTCATGGAGAGCTGCAGACCTTATAAGGTAAATGCACCACAGTTTAACATGTAGGTTGGTGAATATACTGTAAGTCAAGGAATAGAAGCACCAAGAATAAACAGCAAGCAACATTTATGCACAGGGAAACAACATTAAACCGCTCTTACAATTCTCTTTGCTTGAATAACTGGGGGGAAAAAAAACAAAGAACCTTACAGAATTTTAACCAAAGCTATGAAGATTCTTCCAAATCATAGTTCAATTTCTACAATTTGAAAATAACTGAATAGAACAAAAAAAAAGTTGTTTGGCGATGTAAAAATGTGCCATTGATTACTCATAAAAATACCTTACAAATCCATGTGATAGATTGTTGTTCTGGAATCACCAAGCTAAAAACAGTCTTTTCATAACAAACAATGGAGTTGACACAGACAATAGGAAATATTTTCTGCTAAATGGCAACTGTCTAGATTTTCTCAAGCTATTTCACCTAGTTCAGCCTCGGCAACACCATTTACTGGCCACCTTAAGGATTTCCAAGGCAAAGTGAAGATGTACTGTAAATATTGTCTGTACCTGGGACCTAAAGATCTGCAGGAACCAGAAACTCTCTTTAAAATGTATTTACAGGAGTACAAATGGATGTACTCTCAAAGATCATATTAAGTCTTAAAAGTCAAGAGGCAAGAAAGGAAAAAAAAAGTTAAGCAATTCAAGCTTCAGTTGTTAAGCACTTGGCTAAAAAAACAAACTCATGTCTACTGTATTACAATCTCAAAACTACGTACTACACATGGTGTTCCTCAGACATACAATAACACACACGGGTCAGGGGTTCCTGGTGTGAGTTTATTTGCACAGCACTAGACTAATCAAGTTACATAAAGTGTGCAATGCAAGGCAGACTTCTCTGCTATGAAGTACGGGAACACAAATCACACGTCACCAGCTGTGGCTTTAAATACCTTTCCAAAAGGTGTCAATTTGTTTTCTGGAAGAAGCAATTTGGCCAAGCTTCAAATGTCAAAGTTTTTCTTGGTGCAGCTGGGAATGTTTTTATTTTCTGAGGAAACAAAAACAGAAAAAGAATTGCACATACCTAAGCACGTGCTTTCAATCTTGCCAGAGGTTCTCGTATTCTTTCCATTTACCATCCCAACATTTCAGGCAACAACGAACAAATACATTCACCACTGTTGATGTGAAGTACAAAAACTTACTTGAAAACCTTAACAAAGGATGCAATTAAGTGTAAGAAACTGAATCATTTTTCCATGTTTAGTCTTCTGTAGCTATTACTATTAATAATTAGCAAAGCAGGAAGACAAATGGAAATTCAGTTAAAAGGTTTGTGATAAGGGTACAGAACAATGAAGATATCTAGAAGCAAAACGTCAAACATGTCAGTTCCCAAGCACATCCAACAACCAAAGAATACAGCAGCATTTACAATATTAATTAAATAAAAACGGTCACTTTAATATTTTATTAAGTAACAGTTACTTTGGGATGACAAGCTGTTTTAAGAGCTGGTTTAAAATTCATCTGAAGGCTTTATTTAAAGTATCTTGCAGCCTAATTGGCTAAAAAAAACAGCTTCCAGGATGTAGAGTCATATGAAAAACTCACTAGTTTTGAAGTGACTCCTCTTCTGTGAGAGTCAAAGTGACAAAAATAATAGGTCCACCATAAAATTGCATTTCTGGATCAGAAGAGACAATGAAGGAAGATCTCAGGGGATTTATTTAAAGTTAGGTTATACACAGGACTCAAGCCATTCATCTTCAAGTAACATCACAATGTCTAATGTGCAACAACAAAATCTGCAAAATGAAATTGGTATGCAAATACTTGGTACCTGACAGACAAGTATAAACTGCTGTATATACTCCCCTTTTTCTCATGTTCTGTAGTGGTAATCTAGAGAGATGGATTTTTTTTGGTTTACAGCTCAGAAACAACAGTGATGAGCTCCACAATTACTGGAAAATGGCAAAAAATAAGCTTTTGGAGCACAAACCAATAGTAACCACAGGGACAAATAAAGATATGAAACATAAAGGGAAGCCATTTAAACAGACTACTATTCTAAACATGAGAAACACGGTAAACACTCAGTCGGGTAGCTAATCTAATAACCTAGGCCCAAATCTTAAAACCAGATTGTGCTACTCATGAGTTATAACTAGCATCCCCAAATGGTGTTACTTACTGGGTTAAGCATTGTTTCATTTAGATGAACTCTGAAGAGAAGCACATTATCCTTTGAGATATCCTGAGGTTTTCCAAGCAATTGCCCACACTTTTTAACCCTACTATGAGCAATGAATACAGCAGGTTTTGCAGAATCACTTTCAGATTCTTATTTTAAAAAAAAAATTAGACTGATATAAAAATGAACACATCTTCTTTAGCTAAACATTGCATTCTTATGCATCTGGGGGAAAACACACCATGAAGACTGCATCACGATCAGGTTTTTACAGATTACCACGGGTCATTGTTTCAATTATCTGATGAGAGGACTTAATTTGATTGGGGGTAATACTTTGAAGTCACAAGCTTAAAACGGTCAGAATGCAGCCACGGTCCAGATTCTACTTAGGTAATCTGTTTGGACATTTAAACATCATTAAATTGTTGCAATTGTGCATTTCAGAACTTCAAGATTCTGATATCATAAAAGAAAATCATCTTGATCTTGACTATTACAATTATAGATTTAGGGCATAAAACATCATAAAATTGTGTGGTTTTAGGATGTTGCATTCAAATACTGCATCTTAAATGTAATAACATCTATTTTAATTTTAGATGTATTATCTAACCATGTAGTGATTTAGATATACATCACTGATCAGTTGTACACCGATGCCTCTTATGCCAAACCGTTATTCATTTTAAATCTTTAATTGCTTTTGATTCACTGATTCAAAAAGTGTTTCCAAATACAGGGAGGGGGACCACAATCCACCAGACACAGCAGCAAAATGTTAGGGCAACCAGAAAATCTAACAAAGTCACTTATAAAACCAGCAAAGGCAGACATTTATTTCTAACATTTCATTGGAGACCAAGACGTCTTCTATATGAATTTTCTTTAGCTGAGGACTCAATAACCTCGTAGCCTACCCATGATGCTTCAGTGAAAAGCACACCACTAGGAAAAAGGAGAAGCATGTCCATCACATTATACCACACAAACAATCTACTGCATGACTTTAGATCAATGAGTGACTGAAGGGGCTTGTGCTTTTTATCTAACACATTTATTGTAAGTGGAAAGCTATTTTTTCTGGTACTATTTTAGAAGGTTTTGGTTTCATATGCTATATCTTGATTAACCATTTTGAAACTGGTTTTGTAATTATGATTAGAATAAAACTAATTTAAAATAATCCACCATTGACAGTTTCTGAAAAAAAGAATTAAAAAGGTTCCAGAACAGAGTAATCTGGATTACAAAATGTAGAATAACAGCCTCCATATCAATTAAAAAACAGTACATATCAGACTGGTTTTAAAACACTTTCCCCATCCCCCCCAAGAAAAAGAAAAAAAAATGCAATCCGCCAAAAAAAAACTTTTAAAACCTCTTATCTGCTGTGATATTGCAAGTTAAATTTAATGTTCTGCTGTTCCCTGTTTGTCTTAAATTGCTTAGGCACGCAATGGGAGTGTTTGACTCTGGATTAGAACCCGTGTTCAAAGGCAACACAGCAGAAAAAGAAAATAGCAAAAGGGACCGTGGAATCTCTGAACGTCTATATGTACAAACAATAAAACAAGGAAAGCAAAACACCTTTCCGTCTCTTCTCCAAAAGCATGAGTGTGAATCAGTTCTAGCAACAAGTTTGTGAAATTGACACGCGGCATAAAACAAGATGTTATTGCATAATTACAGGATAACTACAATTCACAGGGGCCTTGCTAAAAAAGAACATACACAATCAAAGCTAATGTCAAAAGAGAGAAAAACTCCCAGAATTCTGCACATCTGCTTTTTAACCAAACTGCTCTCAAAGTCTGTCACGTATTCCATTTTAATGTACATTACATTTTAACTCCCCCCTTTTAACCTTTTTTTAAAAAAAAGGTAATTATGGGTCACGTCAAGTTTTTGAGTTTGAATTTTATTAACCCCTAATATGCCAGACTGAAATGTGAAGGAAATAGACTTTTAAGAGTAGGCAAAAACTCTTAATTCTAACAAGCAACACTAAGCTTTTAGGGACCCATTTGGCACAGTAATGAGTAAGTGCTGTTAGTTTTTTTATGGCCGTTGGACGCTCATTCATGCTGTGTGGCCAGTCTAAGTGGGACTTGTCACTTGTCCCATTTGCTTCCATTACAACATTCCTGATGCTAAACAGTGACTGCTGACAACTCATATAGAGACGGTGGTGGAGTGAAAAGCATTAATCCTTCTGCGCATGTAAACTCTGCGAGACGTTGCTAGCTTTTTATTTGATACAAATTGCCTAGAGACGTATATGCAAGCAGCTTCATTATGTGCTTGCCAGGCATGCAGTTCTTCAACTCTGCAGGAATGAATGTCAAAACGGATGATGGATCTGCAGCTGTAAGAGCCGTAAAAAGGCCAATGTTTCCTGGTTCCCTCTGGCCCTTTTCTTTCTTTGCAGTTCCAATATCTACGCCCTGGAGGTCCTAACATTCCCCAACCTCTCACATCACTGCACGTGAATCGTTTGTTTTGTCCCTTGTATCACAATTATAGTGCTTCCAAATACTACAGTAGCTTAAATAAATAAAAAAAACAAAAGAACACGCTTCAGATAAGGGGTAGCCTTTCCAGAAGGAAACTTCATTAAATTAATTTCACAGATATTAATCAAAGCAATTTAACACCTGGGGACAAAAAGTCCAGATTAACTGTTGATCCCTTACTATGTGAAACTGTGAGGCAAAATGTATTCTGAACAAATTTCCATTACATTTCTCAATGTGACTCACAAATTAAAGCAAAATCCAAAACAGAGCAAATTTTATTGCTCCAAACAAGTTTTCAGTCACCTGTATACACTGTCAACTCTGAAATTCTCAAGGCTGTAAACGTTTCTGTGAAAGGCTGCAAAAATGCATGTTTCATTCAAAGATTCACTGTTCTCCCATTACCATAGCTTACAAGTAACAAATAAAACAGATTTGTACTTTGTACACACAAACATTCATCCTAAATGTGAATTTGACAACATACATAGGAATTAAAAGGGCATTCATTTTCAAATGTTTCTTTTTCTCAAACTAACTTGCACATATAGCTTACTTTAGCCCAACTTGGTCAATGCCAATGGGAATTAAGGTTTAGAGCCCATGCACCAAACATCAGTACAAAGTGGTCTTATAGCCAGTGGACCCTCTAAAGCTCATAAAAGCCAGCCACTGCTACTGCCTGTGGGAGCACAAGCTTAAGAGGAACAATGCATCTTTCATTGTCTACCCTTGAAAGCTTATCCAGGGCATGAATTAGACTGGCTCTCTGGCAATAAGCTGCTTGGAGACCAGCAGCTATTGATACAAGAACTCTAACAGGAAAGAAAAAAAGAAAGTTACAATTTTGTTTTAAAAAATAACATGGTTTTCCAGTGAACTGGGTAATCTTTTCTCTAGTAAACAATAGCCTTTACCGAACTCAAGACTCAATTTTTTGACTGGATACTTGTTAAAATGCTTTTTTACTAGGAAATAGAAAGCAGCAGTATTGTGCAATTCGAAGTTATGAAACATTCTATATATATATAAATAAAAGTGAGGTCTTCTTTTCCCATGCATTGATTACACTGAATATATACTGTAAAAAGAAATGCAGGGTATACTCAGTATGCCTCCAGCTGAAACTAAATGCTTGTAATATGAACTGAAGCAATATGAGAAATGTTCGTGAACGGTGTTGTCAGTGAGTGTTTACTCTATCAGCTTTCTCTAGGAAATGGCAGACCATCTACCAATTAAAACTCCATTTAAAAACCACAGAAACCAGTACCCTACATAACCCTACTTTCATTTCCTTGCCAGCCCACACAAGAGTGTAAAAACACATTG